TCAGAAAATCAAGTTCTTCATTTATTATATGCTAAATGGATGGTTGTGGCTAATCTTTGAAAACATCATTTTCTATCAAAGCTAAAACAAAAAACAAAACAAAACAAAAAAAAGCCCAGTGAGTACCAAATCGAAAATGCTGACTTGTGTGTTAGGATGGTCTGCCAGCTTAGAGCTAGGCAATTCAAGAAAAAGAAGACAAAAAGGGGAATTTCATTGTTGTGTTTAACATTTTGATTTATGAAAACTACAATTCAGATGAAAGTCACGTGTCCAACTTCCTACTTTCTGTGCCATATTAAACTTAACGTTCCGTGCAGTGGCTGTTAACAAAACACTTGTGCAGTTAAATAATAATGTAATATATTAGTGTACTTTAACTACATGCTTTCGTCAGTTTATAATAGTTTAATGCTTCCTGCTCGCCCAGCCTCGTTTTGTAAGTCTGAAAGCTTTATTTATTTATTTATTTATTTGCATTACGGCAACTTTAACATCAAAATTTACTCCGTGCTAGCTAGTTTACATCAAATTACTCTCTGCAGGATCTGAGTTTCCACTTCAGAACAAACCTGGATTTTTCCGATGTCCCTGGCGCAGCCCATTACTTTCATACCGAGCCGGACCAGTTCCACGGCTATAGTCGCCCCAATCCCGACCGAGGCTCCGGTCACCAGAGCCACTCTGCCTCGCCAGCGCTCCATCACAGTCCGGTAATCTGCTACACGGACGAAAGCACCTCAAGTATGATGCCAGGGACGCTAAGTCTGAAGAAAACGGACTCTGGAACTCCAACTGTCTTGTGATCGTGAACACGCGATGCTTTTAAACACATCATATGCTTGTGTGCTGCGTTCAAGTCATCAGCAAACTGTAGGAAAACAGTTGAATCGGTTCTTTTGTTTATTCAAGTAATAACTATACTATGATATGTTTACTTGCATCAGGGGCGATTTTAGCCCAGTTTTGGAGGTGCTTCAGCCAGGGGCGATTTTAGCCCAGTTTTGGAGGTGCTTCAGCACCCCCAAAATGAATCAAAGCACCCCCAAAGATGTCTTACTTTTTTTGAAAATATTTGCTGTTTGTGGGACACACTACTAAAAGTATAAAAAGCATACAGTACTTAATTGAGATGGAACATTTTAACAACAAAAGTATAGATAACCCCTCCCCCCTCCCAAAATGGTTTGTTCCAGCTCGGCTCTTTCCTACTTGCTTTAGCACTGTTGCTGCCAGAGCGATGGTGGCTGAGGCGCAGCGGAGCAGAGGTGGAAGTGCCTGGCTTAAAACAGGACATATTAGCTGCATTTAACTTTCAGTTACTCTTTATATAGTTAGGTAGGAGTCAGACCGTGTTTCTTTTTAACTGAAAAACATTACACCAGGTAACCTGTAGGGGTGCAACGATACTCGTATCGATATCGAACCGTTCGATACAGTGCTTTCGGTTCGGTACGCATATGTATCGAACGATACAACATTTTTAATTTATTTTATCAACTTTCCTTCTGACGATG